GTGTATAGTAGTGTAGTGTATAGTAGTGTAGTGTATAGTAGTGTAGTAATGTATAGTAGTGTAGTAGTGTGTAGTAGTGTAGTAATGTATAGTAGTGTAGTAGTGTATAGTAGTGTATTAGTGTATAGTAGTGTAGTAGTGTATAGTATAGTGTATAGTAGTGTAGTGTATAGTAGTGTAGTGTATAGTAGTGTATTGTATAGTAGTGTAGTGTATAGTGTAGTATAATGTAGTGTAGTGCATAGTAGTGTAGTGTATATTAGTGTAGTGTATAGTATAGTATGGTAGTATATAATAGTGTATAGTAGTGTATAATAGTGTAGTGTATAGTAGTGTAGTGTGTAGTAGTGTAGTGTATAGTAGTGTAGTGTATAGTAGTGTAGTGTATAGTGTGTAGTGTATAGTAGTGTCGTGTATAGTAGTGTAGTGTATAGTAGTGTAGTGTATAGTATAGTACTTTAGTGTATAGTGTAATGTAGTGTAGTTCCTCCATAGAGCCCAATGTGTTCGCTTACCGACCATTCCCCTGTTAACGATGGGCTGTTGTCGGTGCAGTAAATATGAATTAATGCCTTGATTAACCATGTTTCTTTTAATGTTACGTGTTTATAATGTTGTTAATCTTTTTGTATTAATATCCATTGTTTAAATATTATAAAAAAACGTTTTTTGGGTGATTTTTTATTTTATTTTTAGACGCTATCGGAACGAATAAAGCCTTTAACGTGCATCTCCTGTATACTCGCTTCACGACCGGTTCCGTGAAACCAATCGCCGTCATTAAGAGTTTGGGGGTTCTACTCTATTAGAAAAAATAAGTATAACCCGTAAAAACAAAGTTTTTCACTATAAATCCTTTATATGCGTGGCGGCTAGAGTCCTCTCGTCCTCTGGCTTGAGATGGCTGCCACCTATGGGTCAGATGATTGTCTGCCAGTATTAAGCAATTGGTAATTAAATATTTAATTTGTTTTCCCTAAACAGTGTAAAATTTTGGAGAAAAAAAATTCACGAACATTAATTGTCTCGCACAACGAGTCTGTGTGGAAAATGTCAGCTCGATTGGATCACGGGAAGTGGGTTAAAAAACGACCGAAATATTTGCACGGTCGTAAGCAAGCAAGCAAGCGAACTTAATATAAAGGATTTAATCATCTGTGCCGAACTGGCCGGACGTGACGTCTGGACGTGACGTCACTTTCAAAGCCACGTGCGTGCCGCTCACTTGAAGGTACATCACGTGACATCCCGCTCCTCTGATTGGCCCAGTGGGCTACGTACAACGCGAACGAAGCTCAACACGCACACACTCACACGCACGCGCACATCACTTCCTCACACCGCCGTTAGGCAAGAGCAAAGGTTTAATTATGATTCTTTCTTACAAACGGAACGAGATACAGAGAGGGAGGGGGGGATCCCTGTGCCACGCAAAGTCTGGCAGTTAATAGGGCACGTGATCATCGTCGTCATACTTAGAATAACAGCCACGCAATAATAATAATCAGAACGACAGCCAACAGCATCAACACTGAACAAATGATAGCACGAGAAGAGAGAGGGGGGGGGGGGGTACGCGCAGACACGTCGCCTCGGTCTCGTGGGATTAAAATAGTTTAATTTTTTTTTTTACATTTTTTTTCGTGTGAATATTCTCTATTTTACAAATCTCCAAATATTGTAACCGCCAAGTTCACCGCTCCCTCCCCTTGTCCCCCCCCTTCCCCCCCCCCCCACACACCTTGTGTTGATAATAAATTAAATAATTATTTTGTTATGATACAAAGACGGGAAGGGAGGAGAGAGACGCGCTGCGTGGAGTTGATGCGGTCGCTGATGGGGGGGTAATTGGAACGGTCACGTGGTCCAAACTCGCTGTGACGCCGCATCGGAGAGGAACGCACGTGAGTGATGGATACGGATTGACCGCACAGGGCGTGGCGCTGAGGAGGACAGTTTCACCGGAGTGAGTGCCACATGGTGGTGGTGGTCACCCCTGCTGATGATCCCCAGAAAGGGGGGGCAAACCCGATCGAGACTGCCCGATTAAACCAGTTGCCGAGGGTTAACAACGCAACGGGGTTTGCGAGGCCGAGAGATCGATGGGCGAAGATAGATTTGTTTTTGGTTTGTTTGATTGCGGGGATGCAGATGTTTAGCTATTGTCGTCGCCACCGCTCGCCGGCTCCATTTGATCTCCGGGCGCGGCAGTTGAAGCAATGGCCAAGTTCATTCACCCCCCCCCCCACCCACCTTGCCACCCAGCGGTGTTAATAGGTTACGCCGCTACAGGTGATCGATCGACAGGTCGCGCGCGCGTGTGTGTTGGTGGCGTCAAGTGTGGGCATCTCCCACGCGGAGAGCGTGGAAGAGTTGGGAAAGGGGGGGGGGGGCAAGATCGCCCTCTCGGGACGAGCTCCACGGAGCAGGTTAGAGACCCCCCCCACGCCCCCCCGCCCCCCCCCCTTTCGCCTAACTTTTTTGCTACCAACACGAGTTTCGTGCGTAACTTGGGGTGGCGTTTTAACAGACCGCAGCCCGTGTGTGTGTCTTTAAAAATTAAAAAAACCCAAATTTATTTTTTGCCGTCGGTGCTCCGCAAATTTTTCGACGGAAAAACCCTCGCGGGGTACCAGGCACGTGATCACTCGATGACGCGCCACGTGATCTCGCGATGACGCGTCACGTGATGACTCGATGACGCGCCACGTGATCACTCGATGACGCGTCGGCCGCTCATTGTCTCGGTCACCACGCGGAGTTCAATCTCTCGGCGGTGATTGGTGGAGGCGACGACCCGCGACGCTCGGATTGGAATTGAAGCGGTGGTGGTGGGTGGGGGTAAGGGGTGGGGTGCGAAACGTCGTGAGGAGAGGTTAGGGCTTGGGCTACTAGGGACAGCGCTAGCGGCTGATTGGCTAGTTATGGTTACGTGCTGGTTAGCTGGTGTGGTTAGAGTCTCTGGTTAGTTGTGGTTATGTGCTGGTTATCTGTTGTGGTTACAGCTCGTGCAGTGAGCGATAGATTCTAATATGTGCACCACTCCTCGCGCTCTCCGTGTTCCAACGCCAATGATGCAATGCGGCCACGCACGTGGGCAGCGTCATCACGACATCATCCCATCACATCGCGTCCCCATCGGACAGTCACGGCCCCAGCATCCAATCCCGTCGCGTGCCGGGCTAAACACGCCTGAAGCGTGTATACACACACATACATACACGCACACGACACGGCATATGTATACATGCACATATGCAGTACATATGCCCCTCTTAACCTGTAGACTCGCGTATATAAATACAGACACACTCAAAATAATCTCTTGCCCCTCCCCCCCCATCCCCCCAAAGTAAAACATCGTTTTCCCCCCTGGTCCATCAGCCTTGGGGAACCACAGTTTTGCAGCAGTGTTGTTTTGTAAGCAAGGCACACCCTGGGGCCTGTCTGGGCCTCTCTTACCCACTTGTTCCACTGGCACATCCGAGCCGTGTGTGCGTTTTCCTCTCCCTCCCCCCCCCCCTGGCTGGATAAATTGCCGCGCCGAGCCGGCACCGAAGCCATGCTACGACGGACAGCCTCGCGGAAAGGCGTTCCTGGGTCTGGCTGGGGGCCAAGCAGGGCCAGGCGCGGGTGCGGGGCGGAGGGTAAACGCTGCGTGAGCGCCGGTCGGAGGACACTTTGCAGCGTCGCGGACGAGCATGGCTCGGGTCCCGGGGTGGGGGAAAAAACCAAACGTGGGACCGGCGCGGCTCGGTTGTAGTGGCGATAACGTAGCAAGCATCTCACGGGGATCGGGGCCGGGGCCCGTGGAGCGAACTCTGCCGGCGCGGTCGGACTGTTGTTGTCGGCGGGATCACTCCACCGTCCGCGCCCTGGAGGCCCCTGCAGCGCGACGCGGCAGAATTGCAGCGACGAAATGGCCGTGAGATGCGAGCGGCGAACGTGTGCGTGGCTGTTCATTAGTCGCCCGTAATCCTCGATGGGGGCACGTGACTTGTCTGTGCTCGTGACCGACTGTGCACGTGACCGACTGTGCACGTGACTGACTGTGCACGTGACCGGCTGTGCACGTGACCGACTGTGCACGTGACCGACTTTGCACGTGGTCGTTGCCTCCACGGCGAGCTGCAGCGCTGCGGCCGGCTGCTGACGTTCTCGATCGCCGGTTGCTGGTTGTGGTTTTTGTTGTTGTTGTTGTAGTCGTCGTCAATGTTGTTTCCGTAGTAGTTGCTGCTCGTTGCTGTACTCTGCTGTAGACCTTGTCGTTGTTGCTGTCGTTGTTGTTGTTGTCTGGCTCAATAACACTTATGAAGAGGAGTTGCTACCCCCAACGCGCTCTCCGGCATTGCTCCTAATCACTGCCATCATCATCATCCTCATAACGTCAACAACTTCAAATTGACCATGTCACTCCCTTGCCGTTCATTTCTAATCCTCCTGTATCACTATCACCATCGTTTTTATCATCGACATCACCAACATCTCCGTTGCCATCACTATGATTGCAATCATCCATGCACATTGCGGGGAGGGCCACACACTGGTATGTACACCGTGTACGTACACCGCCACCTCCTCCTTCGTATGTACACCGCGTATGTACGCATCTATGTACACGGGCTTCGGGGGGGATGCAGGGATTGGAGAAGTGTAGCTGCTGCTGCTGCTGCGTCACTACACGTGCCCCCCCCCTCCCAGCCCGAGAGCTCGACGCTTCGTTGGCAGTCGGGCACAGAGAGCGACGTCCCACGGCACGCGCGACGAGCCGCAGCGATGGAGCAGGGGGTCGCGGGGTCGCGGGGTCGCGCTGGGCCGCTCGCGACCCCTCGTCGTCGCCCCTCCGCGGGCCACCCAGGCCCACGCGCTCTCTCGCGCCGCTCCTCGCCCCGAGGTTCCACGGTCCCCGTGGTTTTATTTCAGTCCGCCAGTTCGTCGCCCCACCCCCCACACCTCTCCAACGTTCGCAATGCCGCCCCCCCCACCCACCCACGGCTCCAATCGTCGTCATCCCACACCACCCTCCCCCCATCGACCAGCAGGGCAACCGATCAACCGACAGACCGGCCGTCTAACCGCCGAGTGACCGACCGACCGGCCGATTCACCAGCAAACCAATCGGCCAAACAACCAGGCGAGCAGCCAAAGCGGCTGACGGACCGACCGACTGTCCAAACGACCCCATCAACCAAACAGGCCGGCCCCATCGGCCCGGCCAGCTGACTGCCACACGTCCGCTCCAGGCCGGGGGCGATGCTCTGCCCCACCGCTGCCGCTGCCGCCGCCGCTGCTGCTGCTGTTGCTCAGGCCTCGATGGGGCTGGAGCCGATGCTGGTGGGAGTGTCGGGCAGCTGCGAGAGCGACGTGATCTCACTGCCCGTCGAGTTGGAGCCCGGCCGCCCCTCCGAGAAGTTCACCTGCTCCACGCGGCCAGAAACCACCGCCACCATCACCATTAGCACCCACCACTCACCACGACCATCATTACCACCACCACGAGCCACCACCACCACCATGACCACCACCATCACCACCACAACCGCCATGATCATCATCACCACTACCACTACTACCACCACAAGCCACCACCACCGTCATCACCACCATGACCACGACAACCACCATGATCATCACCATCATCACTACCACCATGAACATCGCCACACCGTCAGTGGTTAGAGGACTGTGCCACAAACCCGGTGACCCGAGTTGGATTCCCGCTCACGGCCATCACTGGTCTCTCTACGTGTGTGTCTGCGCGTGCGTGGATGAGTGCGTACGCGCGCGCCTCTGTGCGTTTTATGTGCGTGCGTTTGCCTGTGCGCGTGCGCGTGCGTGCGCGCGTTGCGAGCGCCAGCGCGCGTTGCGAGCGCCAGCGCGCGCCCTCACCAGCTGCTGGAAGGGCCCCTGGTCGAGCTCGCTGCTGAGCGCGAAGTCGCTGAGCGCCTTCCAGGGCGGCTGGTGGAAGGTCTGCACGTCGACGGCGCCCACAGGGAGGCCCGGCCCGTCCTGCCGCACGGGGCTCCCAGCCACCAGCGGCGTGCCCGTCAGGCCTTGCAGGTTCTGCGCAACGGCGCGGCACGGGAGGAGACACGCACGCAGAGGGACGCACGCAGAGGGACGCACGCAGAGACACGCACGCAGAGGCACGCGCACGGGAGGAGACACTCACGCAGAGGCACGCACACGGGAGGAGACACGCACGCAGAGGCACGCACCAGAGGCACGCACCAGAGGCACGCACGCAGAGGCACGCACCAGAGGCACGCACGCAGAGGCACGCACGCAGAGGCACGCACGCAGAGGCACGCACGCAGAGGCACGCACACGCAGAGGCACGCACACGCAGAGGCACGCACCCAGAGGCACGCACGCAGAGGCACGCACACACAGACACGCACGCAGAGGCACGCACGCAGAGGCACGCACGCACAGACACGCACGCAGAGGCACGCACGCACAGACACGCACGCACAGACACGCACGCAGAGGCACGCACACACAGACACGCAGGTCAGGTGATGAGCGTATTTTGTGTGGCCAGATGAGAACCCCCAGAGAGTAAAGCAAAATTAATCAAAAGCAACAGCGTCGCAAATAGAAAGGCGAGGCACAAACAGCGTCACAGGTGTGGAGGCGTTTCTGGCTGGGTACACTCCCCTCCATCCCCCCCCCCCCCGCTCCGTCATTCACCACTAGAGAAGGCTCATCACCACCACACACCATCACCACCACCATCATCATCACTACCATTACCACTACTACCATTACCATCACCATCATCACTACCATCATCACTACCAACACCATAATCAACATCGGGATTAACTCTGCCGTAGTCGTCATCATCATCATCAGCCAGCGGTCAATCCATCGACCAACGGATAGAGTAATTGGGCGATCAAGCGAGTAAGCAATCTATCAAATCCATCGAGAAATAAAAAAATCGAGCGATCAAAAGTGCAGCTGATCTATTGATCCATCGAGCAATCGAGCCATCAAAAGAGCAGCTGATCTATCGATTGATAGAGCATGTGAGAATCGAGCGATCTTAAAAAGCAGCTGATCTATCGATCCATCGAGCAATCAAGCCATCAAAAGAGCAGCTGATCTATCGATCCATCGAGCAAGTGGGGGGGGGGGGTGGGAGGGTTGGGGGGGAGGGGCCCTCACCGTCTTGTCACCGCCCTGCTGCTGGATCTGCTTCATGAGGATGCTGCGCTTCTTGTCCTTGCAGCGCTTGTTCTGGAACCAGACGCGGATGACGCGGGGGCTCAGGCCCGTCATCTCCACGAGCTGCTCCTTCATGAGCGCATCGGGCCGCGGGTTGGCCGCGTAGCAGGTCCTCAGCGTGTGCAGCTGCTTCTCGTTCAGCACCGTGCGCACGCGCGTTGTCTTCTCCGCCTGCTTGTGCACGTGCGGGCGCAGTGGGTGGTGGCGGCCAGCCGCGGACATGGGCTCGGCTGCGGGGGGGAAGGGGGGGGGGAGCCCGCGGGGGGTGCGGAGATGGAGGAGGGAGAGAGGAGTGAGATCAAGCAGGTAAGGCCCCAACTGGGCTATACGGAGCTTCTTGTTCAGAAGCGACCTGGCCGTCACAAATGAGAGCTCGACGAAAGTGGATTATCGTCATCATCGTCGTCGTTGTCGTCGTCATCATCACGTGGAAATTTAGAGCGGCCAAAGAAAGTGTGAAACGCGCGACGTCGATTCTAAACGTGGAGGGGAGAACACGGGGAGAACGTGCAAGCTTCAGATAGACAGGGGTAAGGGGTCGTCGCGATTGAACCCACGACCTCCTGTGTAACATACGCTTTGGTTCTTTCGGTAAAGTCACGTTGGTATAAAAAAATTAATAAATAAAAATTACGCAATTGTTTTCTTGCTGTGGTTGTCCCACCTGATGAAGGACGCTTGTGTTGCGCCCGAAACGTCGTGATTTAATTTATTTGTATCTTTTATACCTCCTTCAAGTCTCCTGTATACCGGCTGAGGTAGTTAACATCTCCTAGCCACCGTGGCGCCCGACTGCGCTAGGAACCCGGCGACCCGAGTTCTATTCCCGCTCACGGCCAACATCGCTTGCAAATATCTGAACCGGTCCTGCACCTCCCCTAGGTCGACTCAGCCTGGTGCAATCCGTGATCATTGTTACTCGGGAGTCAAAGTCAGCTGGACGTGGTACTGGCCACCCATCATTTTGTGTACCGTGCGGACCTAACAGCACTTGCCCCTACAGTCTGTTAAGGTTATGAGGGGGATATTTGTCTTTGTGTGCGGCCGGAAGGAGGCCTTCATCCAACGGTTGGATTGAGGAGACACACACCCGGAATAGCAGCGCTCCTGCCATACACCCCCACACTCACCCCATCTCACCCCCCTCTCTCTCTCGCTCACCCCCTCCATCAACCCCTCTCACTCACTCACTCTCAGCCCCTCACTCACTCACTCACCCTCTCTCTCTCACTCACTCCCTCTCAGCCCCTCGCTCACTCACCCACCTTCTCTCTCACTCACTCACCCTCTCTCTCTCACTCACTCCCTCTCAGCCCCTCGCTCACTCACTCACCTTCTCTCTCACTCACTCACCCCCTCCATCAACCCCTCTCACTCACTCACTCTCAGCCCCTCACTCACTCACTCACCCTCTCTCTCTCTCTCACTCACCCCCTCCATCAACGCATCTCACTCACTCACTCTCAGCCCCTCACTCACTCACTCACCCTCTCTCTCACTCACTCACTCACCCTCTCTCTCTCACTCAGCCCCTCCATCAACCCATCTCACTCACTCACTCTCAGCCCCTCACTCACTCACTCACCCTCTCTCTCGCTCACCCCCTCCATCACCCCCTCTCACTCACTCCTTCTCAGCCCCTAACTCACTCACTCTCAGCCTCTCACTCACTCCCTTCAACCCCTCACTCACTCATTCACCCTCTCTCTCTCATTCACTCCCTCCATCAACCCCTCTCACTCACTCCTTCTCACCCCCTCACTCACTCACTCACCCTCTCTCTCTCACTCACCCCCTCTCTCACTCACCCCCTCCATAAACCCCTCTCACTCACTCCTTCTCACCCCCTCACTCACTCACTCACCCTCTCTCTCACTCACCCCTCTCTCACTCACCCTCTATCTGTTATTCAACATCCTCACCCCCTCTCACCCCCCCCCCCCCCCACACACACCCCCCCCTCACCGGCGAGCTGCAGGGGCCGGCCGCCCCCCTGCCCCGGGCTGCCCAACATCCTCACCCCCCCCCCCACACACACCCCCTCACCAGCGAGCTGCAGGGGCCGGCCGCCCCCCTGCCCCGGGCTGCCCAACATCCTCACCCCCCCCCCCACACACACCCCCTCACCAGCGAGCTGCAGGGGCCGGCCGCCCCCCTGCCCCGGGCTGCCCAACATCCTCACCCCCCCCCACACACACCCCCTCACCAGCGAGCTGCAGGGGCCGGCCGCCCCCCTGCCCCGGGCTGCCCATGCCGTCGGCGGTGCCGGCCCTCTCCAGAAGCTCGTGGTCAGCGCGGCAGAAGAGGCCGTCCTCCCGCAGCGCAAACTCGTCACCCGGGATGAGCTGGCGGCTGCACGCCACGCAGCGGAAGCACTCGAGGTGGAACACCTGGGTCCGCACCCTCATCACGAAGTCCGTCTTGCTGAAGCCCACGCCACACTTAGCGCACTTGATGCCAAACAGCCTGCGGGCGCCCACAGGGAGAGGGGAGCGAGAGGGAGGGGAGGGGGAGAGACGGAGGAGGGAGAGGGATGGAGAGAGAGGGAGCGAGATTGGAGAGAGAAAGAGAGAAAGTTGATTTTGATTAATCAGGTGGGAATTCAGGAGGCCCAGGGTAGAGCCTCGGGGGCTGCAACGTCGACCTGGGTCTATAAGATAGCGAGGGCTCAGCTGACTCGGCTAACTCAACTAGCTCAGCTAACTCAGCTAAATCAGCTGACTCGGCTAAATCAGCTGACTCGGCTAAATCAGCTGGCTAAGGTCAGGCTTGCAAATGAGCGGGATCCGAACCGCTTTGGCTTCTCGCTCCGGTGAAACGAACAACGGCGAATCGCGTCGCTCCGATGCGCTCGCAGGAGGCAGTGATGGCGATTGCGTTGCGCAAACAAAAAAAAACACTCCATTTCTTTGGGAGCGGTTGGGGTTAGCGTTTGTTGAGTGTGGGTGACGCCGGTCTCGGTATGGGCCACTGGTGACCACGCTGTGCTGACGAGGCCTGAGAAGGACGAAACCGGTCTGCAGCTGTCCGTCTCTGCATCACCGCTGCTCGTCAAAGCAGCCACGTTTCCTCGAATGCATTCGATGGTTGAGCAGAAGGTAACGGGATGGTAATGCAGGGGCGCCGCGGTGGCTAGGAGATGTTAACTACCTCGCCTGGTGTACAGGAGGTCGTGGGTTCGATTCCGACCCTGACGCCTGCTGTATATTTGGAGTTTGCATCTCTCTCTCTGTCATCGTCATCACGGTGGCTAGGAGATGTTAACTACCTCGCCAGGTGTACAGGAGGTCGTGAGTTCGATCCCGACCCTGACGCCTGCTGTATATTTTGATGTTCTTAGTTTTTTTCGGTAAAGTCACGTGGGTAAAAAAATTTAAATTAATAAAAGTAAAATAAAATAAAAATCACGACGTTTCGGAGGCAACACAGGCTTCCGTCTTCAGGTGAAACGTCGTGATTTTCATTTTATTTTACTTTTATTAATTTTAATTTTTTTTATCTACGTGACTTTACCGAAAAAACCTAAGAATATGAATCCTTGCAGTCACGAAAGCTTCAAATCTAGAATGTATATTTTGAGTTTGCGTCTCTCTCGCTCTGTCATCGTCATCACGGTGGCTAGGAGATATTAACTACATCGCCTGGTGTACAGGAGGTCGTGGGTTCGATCCCGACCCTGACGCATGCATGGAGTTTGCGTGTCTCGCTCTCTCTCTCTGTGGAGATGTTAACTACCTCGCCTGGTATACTGGAGGTCGTGGGTTCGATCCCGACCCTGACGCATGCATGGAGTTTGCGTGTCTCTCTCTCTCTCTCTCTGTGGAGATGTTAACTACCTCGCCTGCTATACAGGAGGTCGTGGATTCAATCCTGACCCTACTGTATATTTGGAGTTTGCGTCTCTCTCTCTCTCCCCATGGTAGCGTGGATTTTTATCCGGATCCTCCCTGTTTTTGCTCCACATTTAGAATCAACATCACGCGTTCTAGAGTATTTGGCTGCTAACAAAAAAAAATCCACACGATGAAAATGATGAGCCACTTCGTTGGGCTGTCATTTGTGCGCGCCAGGTCGCATCTGAACAAGCGCCACGTAGCTCAGTGGGGCACTTACCTGCTTAGATAAAAAAAAATTGTAAATAACAATAACTGCAGACGATTCTCTTTTGCTGCCATGACGCACGAATGGCCGAGAGTTTTGGTTTATATCGAGCACGCGTCTCTGCGCGAGTCGTTTGAAACTTCTGTACGTACGGCGCCCCGCGTGGCGATCAAAATATCCGCCACTGATGTTGGCCGTGAGCGCGAATCGAACTCGGGGGTGGTTTCGTGACGCAGCGCGGCGCTAACCACTGCGCCACCGCTCTTCCCGCCCCACTCCCCGCAGCTGTCCGGCAGTGACGGCGCGGGCGCCAGACAGCTCCTAAACCTCGCGATGTCACTTCCGCGAATGGCTATTGACAGATCTTATCAGGCGAGGTGGCAGGGCGAGTGATGGCTATTCACCCCCACACACACACACGGGCTCCCCTACCCCTCTACTCCAGCTCCCTACCCCCTCTACCCCCCCTACCCCTCTACCCCTCTACCCCACCCCCCTACCCCTCTACCCTACCTCTCTACCTCCTCCATCCCACCCCCTACCCCCTCTACCCCACATCCCTACCCCCTTGTATCTCACCCGCCCCCCGCACGGACTTGAGATAGCGAGAGGAAGTAGAGGTAGGGGAGCAGAGGGAGGAGAGGGAGGGGAGCAGAGGGAGGAGAGGGAGGGGAGCAGAGGGAGGAGAGGGAGAGGGAGGAAAGGGAGGGGAGAGGGAGGAGAGGGGAGGAGAGGAGGGGAGGGAAGTGAGGAGAGGGAGGAGAGGAGAGGTAGGAGAGGGAGAAGAGGGAGGGAGCAGAGGGAGGAGAGGGAGGGGAGTAGAGCAGAGGGAGGAGAGGGAGTTTTTAACCTCCGCCCGAGCAGCCCCACGTTGTGTGCGCGTGTCGTGCGAGTGCCACGCCCGATCGCCTTTGTCTCCCCGGTGCCGATTGTTTTTGACATACCGTCGATTCAAAACTAAAACTACGATAATAACTTTTATTTTATTTAACCCGATGAGGCCCCACTGAGCTCTTTAGCTTTTTTATCAGAAGCGATCTGCCACAATTGATAGCTCAACGAAGTTGGCTTATCATGCGGAAATGCAAAGCAGCCAAAAGCCCTAAACGCGTGATGTTATTTCTAAATGTGGACGGGAAACCGGAGGACCTGCATAAACATCCACGCGAGCACGGAAAGAGAGAGAGACAAGCCTATCAGGCGAGGTAGTTAACATCTCATAGCCACCCTGATGATGATGATGAGAGAGGCACGCAAACTCCAAATATACAGCAGGCGCCAGGGTCGGGATCGAACCCACGAGCTCCTACGTATCAGGCGAGGTGGTTAACATCTCCTAGCTAGCGTGATGATGATGACAGAGAGAGAGAGACACCCAAACTCCAAATATACAGCAGGCGTCAGGGTCGGGATCGAACCCACGACCTCCTGCGGATCAGGCGAGGTAGTTAACATATCCTAGCTACCGTGATGATGGTGACAGAGAGAGAGACGCAAACTCCAAATATACAGCAGGCGCCAGGGTCGGGATCGAACCCACGACCTCCTGCGCGACAGGCGAGGTAGTTAATAACTCTTAGCCACCGTGATGATGATGATGACAGAGAGAGACACGCAAACTCCAAATATACAGCAGGCGCCAGGGTCGGGATCGAAGCCACGACCTCCTGCGTATCAGGCGAGGTAGTTAACATCTCCTAGCCACCGTGATGATGATGGATGATGGTGAGAGAAACACGAAAACTCAAAATATACAGCAGGCGTCAGGGTCGGGATCGAACCCAGGACCTCCTGTATACCGCGCGCGGTAGTCAACATCTCGCCACTGATGTTGGCCGTGAGCGGTCATGTAAGCTCCGGTTCGCCGGGTTCGTAGCGCAGTGCGCTAACTCATTGCGCCACTGACCCGAATTGAATAGGCGCTCGCTAACAGCGCTGACACAACGCTCTATAACGCTGACCGACCGGGCTATTCCACCATTGGAACCTCATTTGCCAGAAGAAAAAATATGATAATTGTTTTTTTACCATTTTATCTGGCAACAAAACGGACACATTTTTTACAAGGAGTCAGGTTTGCATAGACCACAATACCTGCAGTCGTAATGCAAACAAAAAACATAACTCTGATAATGTATGCACTGTCCTGGAAATTGATTGGTCCACACCCGAGACAGCTTTCCTTAGAGCCTAGTCTCACATGGTGTTGGACCAGATGACGCTAAAAGGTGCACAACTCAAAGACAATGAACCATCAGAGTATGAGAGCTCGGGGTAAGAATTTACATCATTGAAACCTCATTTGCCAGAAGAAAAAATATGATAATTGTTTTTTTACCCTTTTATCTGACTATTGTCAGTGATCTTCTTGGTTCTTTCGGTAAAGTCACGTAGAAGGGAAGTAATAAAATAATAAAAAATTGTGTTTTCTTTTTATTATTTAATTAATTCCCTTCTACGTGACTTTACCGAAAGAACCAAGAAGATGAATCCCTGCAGTCACGAAAGCTTTAAATCGAAATTTATTGTCAGTGAGTTTAACACGTGGTAGGTTTGCGCGACCAACATCATCCATAATACAGGGGTGGTTTTTTGTGTTGGGTTAGAGCGCGTAAATATATAAACATATAACGAACACAGGAGGATTTCTCCACAAATCTGGCTGTCGCCTGATGAAGCTAGTTGTAATTTCAGGCGAAACGTCGTACTCGGATTGTAAATGTTGTGGATTTGCTCTCCAACACACGCGTGTTGCCGGACTAGCAACGGATTGGCCACGTGCTGTTCACGTGACAAACCTTACTACTGTTTTGTTCTTTCGGTAAAGTCACGTATAGGTAGAAAAATACAAATAATAAATCACGACGTTTCGATCGCAACACAAGCGATCGTCATCAGGTGAAACAAAACTCCAGCAGTGAAACAACACAGCGAGAGCGCTGCGGTCGAAACGTCGTGATTTTTTATTTTAAATTAATTTTTCTACCTACGTGACTTTACCGAAAGAACCAAAGAGTATGGATTCCTGCAGTCACGAAAGCTTACTCATTGGCCGTGTCGGGTGGTGGCGGGTTTAACGACACACTTATATATTTACGCGATCTAACCCAAAACAGAATCTCTATTGTGGGCCTAGTGTTAAGGTGTATTGTATATGCAGCTTTGCACGGAGACTTTGACGGGACGCGACTTTTATTTGCGATGCACCGATTAAGGGCCGCACGGAGACGCGTTTGGGAATTCGTCGGATGGATTTAATTTCCCGACGAAGGGTTTCCTGTTGATTCAATTCGTCGTATCTGGAAGTTTCAACGCCCGGCGAGAAACCTCACCAAGTGATTCAGCTGTAACGTGTGTTTCGTTAC